AAAGAGAAGAAACGGCCTATTACCGCAATTGCTCAAATGGCCTATTCTCGCAATGGCAAAACTGCCGTACCACATGTCTTAAAGTTGCCAGGTTTGAGAGACACTGATCTAGCCCAATATTACTAGTACTAACTGGCAAAGGTTTCAAAAGAAGAGAATATATGTAGCTGAAGGTTGAACTGTGGAGTCCTTGGTGCGCTCTGAGCTGGGCTGTTGGCTTGCAGATGTCCCATTACCCAACTAGGTAACAGCAGCCAGCGGCCTCTCCAGCAACTAACACCCAGATAAGCAGGGATTAACTCCAGACAAACAATCAAGCAGAAAACAATACCCTAATGAAGGAACTACCAAGGAGAAAGCCACACCCCGACTGACACTGGCAGGGCAAGCAACTCTATATAAACAGGGAGCAGACCCAACACTCACTAGCACTGATGATGTTACCTAGTTGGGTAAAGCAACGTCTGCAAGGACACGGCCATGTTCAGAGAGCACCAAGGCAAAGCTTTTCAAGGCAGGGGTTTTCCCAGCCATTCTTGGAGTCTTCAAGGGTTAAAAAGTGGGCCTTTTGTACAGAAAGCAACTCCTCAACCACTAAACTCTTGTCCTTCTCCTGAAAATAAGAATTGTTCATGTTCTAAATGAGCAAAACTCCCTGCATTTCACCAAGTCATTTCCTTATTCTGCCGAAGGCGGGATTCCCAACATTATTAAATGCCCACTAGGCTGATTTTTTTAAAAACCTGTCTGGAGATATTGTAGAAGAAACCACTAATCTTTGGGTTGGATTCGCGCAACCTCCTAGCCTAAGTTAAAATGAATTTAGATAGTTCGGAGTTGAGTGGACAGTGTGAACTCATAATAGTTGTGCAATACAGGCCATTAATTAAAAGCTATATTTGGTCTGTTCGTATTGGCATTGTGGAGGTTGTGATTGGGACCAGGGTGCTTTGTCTACCCGAGTTTACTGTGTCGTGGGAATACAGCCATGTCTTAGTTTGCTACATGATCCTGCCTGTAATGTTATGCCCTAAGATGATTTCATTCTTTGGGCACGTCTGTGGTGTGAACCCATTCATCATGTGTGGTTAACGTGGGTTAGTGTCCAATGTATTGTGTGAATTTGTCTTCGAGTGTCAAACGTTGAGAGCCATCCATTTCACATACACCAAAACAGATTTGAGGGCTCCAGTGTTTATTACTAGCATTTATTTACTTCATTACATTTCCAAGCCTCTCTAACAGCCAAGGCTTTAGGGGGCTATTCACAAAATGGAGCTTAAAATCATAAGAGTGCAGAAAACAAGAGCCTGGGAATGAATGGGCGTGTTACTTTAATAACAAAAGAGGAATAATGGAGTCTTCTTCTCATTCCCTTGTCCTTTATGGAAGATATAGAACCCGCATCTATTCCATGCTGCTTGGAATGTAAATTCAGAGGCAGTTTGACCAACATATAAATGGTTTCTCCTCAATCAGGTCTATTGAAATGGAAAAAAGATGATGACAGAAAGGATTGTGTTTTGGGATGGCCCCGTGGCGTTTAGGAACTTTATGAGCGACACGGACGATCCCTGTGAGATTGCTGTAAAATAAGCCCTTTTTTAAAAAATTATTTGTATGCTGCCCCAATCAGAGAGACTCTGGGTGATGAGCAGCAAATCATAAAAATGTACAGACTTCCCTAAGCCCTGCAAATAGCCTGATAACTTTCTGGATATGTCCACATTGCTTTTTCGGCAGCAATACGGAAGCCTTTGCCTTGTTTCTGGAAGTCGGCTTGATTTCCTGGTCTAGTTGACAGCCTGGGGATCTCCTGGTGGTCTCCCATCCAAGAGCTAGCCAGCATCTGACCTTGCTTCTGGGGCCACTGATCATTTCAGTCCCAAACTAGGAATATAAAAACACTGCAGGGCGAATGATAATCGCCAGGTTAATCTGTGCTCTGGGTTTACATCAGGTACGGAGTTCAAAATTAACCAGACAGACTGGGTTTAATCCAAAAGCATGTCCCCACCCCAGACCAGACCAGGTAACACTAACCATGTTCTGCACAAGAAATCACAAGGTCCTGCACTAACTGACTGTGTGAACACAGCCATTAAGAACAGTAAGAGTCATCCCCCTTGTAGCTGCTAAGCCAGAATAGGGAATAAAAGTGAATCAGGGCAAGCTTAGGTTTATCCATTCCAAAATGTCCTATTTCAGTTCAGAGAGATTTAAAACAGAGGAGGCTACAAGCTTCCAGTCCCCTTGCCCCGGAGTAATTTTCAAGAGGGAGTAAATCTACGTGTAGCTTCCTCTCTGAGCTTTGGCAGAACGCAAAGCAAGACCGGGAGAAAATTCAGCGTAACGTCTCCTTCCGAACAGGGGAGACCATATTTTCAACTTTCGGTTTGGGAGGCTCGTTCCCATGAAAATGGGAAAAGTGGTGTTTCTCTCTGCCCAGCCGTGGGATTCAACATTCGGTGGGCGAAGGAAGCTTCAAAAGGAACCCGTGTATTTTTTTTTCAGGAAACACAGATTCAAACACGGAGGCAAAATCGTGACACTTTAGCACAATGGATCATGTAAATCATTGATAGCGATGGAAATGTCCCGAACATAAGATCGTTTGTTTCCCACAACAGAAACCTGGTGTCTGATTTGTTTTTTATGGATAGTTTTACAGATTTTCCTCGCCTGTGAGCCCAGTTACTTCTACTCAACACTTCCTCTTATTTTAGTCATGTAATCTGAGCACTATTGCCTACAAAGCGTAAAGAAATATAGTAAATCCAGACGCTCTTGCCCTCTTCCTTTCCCTCTCTCGGACTTTGGGAAACAAATTCAGATCCTTGCTACTCTTTTCTCCCAATCTTGGGAGAAACAGAGGGGAAAAAGTCATCTTTCTTGGAGGACTTGTTATTGCTTTCCCACCATTCTTAACTCAACGGGCAGGAAAATACTTTTTATGGGCTTGCAAGGTTTTAGATTCAATCTGGCATCTACATCTCACCGGTGGGTGGAGCCAGGGCCCAAAGCAGGTGGAATCAGAAGAAAGAGTGGGTGGAGCAAGAAGGATTTACAATCTGGGCCAAGGCCCGTCTATAGCTCTTGGGCTAAACGTTCCCGACCCTCTGCCACAGCTAATTCCCAGATGGGGTTCCTCTTTCACTTGAGGCTGTGCTGGCTTTCCCGGTGACGCCGCAGGTCCACTTTGCGCTGAAAACCCTTCCCGCAGAGCTCACAGCTGAATGGCTTGAAGCCGGTGTGCTTGCGGCTGTGCGTGATGAGGTTGGAGCTTTGGCTGAAGGCCTTCCCACAGACTTGGCATTTGTGTGGCTTCTCCCCTGGGTAGAACAGAGAGGAGGAAAATGAAGAAAGAAAAATCCAATCTTGTATTCCTACGTTAATATATCACAACCGTTCCTAGTGCCTTCTAGTTCAGCTGGACTATAAACCGTGGCCACGTCGGATGGAGACGGTTGGCATTACAGCCCATGAAATCAGTGGACATTACTTGATTCCCAGATTTTTTTTTTTTTTAAATCCAAGCAGAGGGTGTCTTTAAAACAGACCACAAATAGCAGGCTGCAGCTGGTCTGTTCTTATCCAGGAATTGCTCCTACTGGCAGAAAACAAGCCGGGGGGCTAGCCGGCTGGCCTGTTTTTTGCCTGCAAGCAAGAACCGAGCTGTGCTTTGACCGTATCTGAGCAGACATCTGCCCAGTGATGTCTCTATTCAAGTACCGCAGGAGCGTCACAAGGCAGAGATAGAAAGGGGGATTTTGCGTACTGATGTCACTGCAGGATGGGACTTGCCGTATCCCGTCTCACTTTGTGGTAGACCCCATTGATGGAGATCACAGGACCTCTGGAGAGTCCCAGGCTGGGGGCAAAGCTCTTTTGGACATGAAGCTGACCAACTATCTGCAGACAGGATTCATTCAGGGGGAACGAAGGGTTACCAGATGCCTCTTGATGTTTATGGAAGATGCATATATCAGAAAGATGGAAAGATTCAGCATTGCCCACAATGGAGGAATGGTTGGTGAAGATGATAGAACTTGCTGAATTGACTTCTTTGATCAGAGAAAAGACTATATCTACATTTACTGCTGACTGGAACCCCCTTATGGACTTGAGACAGAAAAAAATAAACTTACGATTTACAGTTTTGATGATTAGACAGGATAGATTTTAGAAAGAAGATGGTCGTGATGTAACTTGAGAGAAAGAGGTAAATTTATCATTGTGCTTATAACTGCTGTAGAGAAGATCGGAAGCTACTTCCTTGTATCTTTCTTCCTTCTTTTCGATTTCCCTTTTTTCCCCTTTTCTTTCAGCTTTCAGCTTTCTTTGATTCCTTTTTCCTTCTTTTCTTTCCCTTAATCCATATTAGTTTGCATTCATTTTTAATCGTCTTTCTTAAAATCGTTAATAAAATGATATAATTATATATGACATTATATATGATTATATAGTATATCATATAAAATCATATATATATATGGAAGATGCATACATTAGGATTTGTCAATGACTCATAGCATCAGAAGGGGCCATGGAGAAATCCAGTCTGATCAATTAAAGCATTCTTCTCCCAATTAATGCAACTCCAATTCAGGCAATCTTTCTTCACATTGGAAGGTCTCTTTCCAAGGCTTTGCACAGCCCCTCTCTCCAACCTCTAGCCCGCCGCCCTTTCCTGCTCACCTGTGTGAATGTAGGTGTGTTTCTTCATGTCTGACTTCTGGTGGAACCGTTTCCCGCAGTATTGGCACGGGTACGGCCGGGTGTCCGAATGGATCAACAGGTGAGTCGACAAGGTGGATGACCGCTTGAACGTCTTCCCGCACATTTTGCACTCGAAGCTTTTCTCCTGGGGATAAGGGCAATGCAGGAGAAGGGGGGTGGGAAGAGAATATTACAGCAGGGGGAAGGATCCAACCGTGGGGACCCCAACCAGTTGCAAAGGAGGGAAAGAAATGATGCCAGGGGCTGTAATATTTATATGCAACAGGGTTTTTTTTTAAAAATGCAATGTCAGTTTTTCTATGCATGATGAGTGTTGCTAATGAAACCCCTTTGGTGCCTGTTGATGGCTGGGGTGCATTTAACATGACGGTGGGGGGGTGTTTTAATGCAAACTGGGCAGGGCTGCTTCATAATGGGGACAAGCTGAGATTTACATGTTTTTTTTAAGTTTTGGGGGTAAGGAAGTGCCTTAAAAGAGAAACACCTGTTTTAAGGCTGATGCTAAGGTTTATTGCTCCCCCTGAAATGGCAAAAAATTACATCACAGCCTTTTAGCAAAGGGGATCAGGGAGAGGTCTCTCCACCCTCCTCCTCCACCAAAGGTTTGGGGCTCAGGACCTGGCCAAACAATTCCTTTAGCCTTTTTCAGACCAGGAAACCATTTGCGAACCCCGAAAAGCTTTCTTCTTGTTCTTGAGCCTCAAAAGCCCAATTCCATATATTGTAATGACTGTATTTACTCTACAAGGCAGGTCAGCAGGATCTGGGTGCAAGCTACAGAAGACGTTTTACCCACGAGATTGTTTTTCTCCGTTCCCCAGCTCTCAGACTGACCTGAGAATGGATGTTGGTGTGTTGCTCCAGACTGACGGCGTGCCCAAACGTTTTCCCACAAACGCTGCAAGCAAAAGGCCGGGTGCCGCTGTGGGATCTTCGGACATGGACCTCCAGGCCATGTGGGGTAGAAAAGATCTAGAAAGCAAAGATGCATTGTCCTAGGGTGCAGAGAGAAGTGGCCAGAAGGACCTCATGCAACATTTTACCCTGTGCCCCCTTGGAGTTTAAACAGTCTCTGCAATAGCAGATAACAAAGAGCTTTCTTGACACTAGTCCCTTAAGCTTGTTCTGTAGTCAATAGTATAACCAGAACCCATTAGAAGAAACCTAATTACCTTCCTGGTATCCCACTTCTGGGAAAATATCTTGGAAAAGATACTCAAATGCCATGATGGGTCTATACCTACAAAGTTCAGAATAATACAAGCCATGGTATTCCCTGTGACCCTCTATGGAAGCAAAAGTTGGACTTTGAAGAAGCAGGAGAGGAAGAGTATTCATGCTTTTGAACTTTGGTGTTGGAGAAAACTCCTGAGAAGACCATGGATGGCCAAGAAAACAAACTGATGGATCATCGAAAAATCACTTGAGGCACAAATGACCGGGCTCAAATTATCCTACTTCAGACCCATTATGTGGAGACCCAGCTCTCTGGAGAAGGATCTCATGCTGGGAAAGGTGGAAGGAAAGAGAAGAGGATGACCAGCAGTCAGGGAGATGGACTCAGTTACAAAGGTGATGGGGGCACCGTTGGAAGACTTGAAGGACCATGTGGGGGACAGATCATCATGGAGAAAATCTATTTATGGGACACTAGGAGTTGACAACAACTTGATGGCATGTCATCATCGATCATCCCACTCCTGACACCCCATTGTACAAGAATGTTGGAGTTTATTTAAACTGGAGTCCAGCACACTTTCAGGTGCCAAGTATTCCCGCTACACTACAAGTCCCATATAACTGGAACTGTCCCTGGTAAACAGAGACTGTGGAACAAGGGTATAACCTCTGAGCAACTCACTTTATTGCATATGACACAGTGGTAGGTGTCCATGTTGGGCGAGAACTGCATGCTGTAATCCAGAGGGAGTTCTGCGGCAGGAAGGATCGGGCTCCCGTACAGATGAATGGAGTGCTCCAGCACGGTGGGAGACATCGGTCTGTACCCAAACGGGGGACGGAAGGCATTCCAAGCAAAGCAGGAGTTGTAGAAAGCAGAAGCGTTCTTATCTTGGCGTTTTAAAGCCGGGAAGGGCATCTCTGAGACAACAGAAAAGGGGCATCAGAGAACAGCAGATAGTTTCTGCCAGCCGTGTAAGATTGAGCAGAGGGGGGCACGCCACTGATTAGCCAATGGCATCTATCGGGACTTAGGAAGTGAACCTTCTGTGTTGCGGAGTCTGCCCTCTGGAACACATCTCCCCAAAGATTCCTCTGTGTGTGTGTGCGTGCGTGTATGCGCGCACATATGTATATACATACATGCACCCCATCTCCCCAAAGATTCCTCTCTCTCTCTCTCTCTCTCTCTCTCTCTCTCTCTCTCTCATTCTCTCTCTGTATGTATGTATGTATGTATGTATGTATGTATGTATGTATACATACACACACACAAAACCAATGATGTTCAAAAAGTCATTGAGAACCTGACTGTTCCCCCAGGCCTTGGGGTAGGATGAAACTGAGCCCCTGTAGAATTTTACTCGACTAAGTAATCTTTTCTTCTGGACAAATATAATCTCTGTTCTTATTGTTTTACTTGGGGTTTGTGTGTGTTGCTTTTAATGTTGTAAGCCACTCCAAGTCTTGTGGAGCTGGACAGCCTCAGAGATGTATGTATGTATGTATGTATGTATGTATGTATGTATGAATGAATCAGTCAATCAATCAATCAATCAATCAATCAATCAATCAATTCAATATGGAAGGAGCTTTTTAGGTCCCCAAGGCCATACTGAAGAAATGATTATTGTCAACCCTTTTCTATTGTTCTTGGATTTTGCAAAAACCCTTTAAGAGCTGGTGTGACAGGGTACTGGTCTCTCCAATCCCACCAAAGGATAGGAGTCCCATATCTGCAATACCGCAAATTCCAGTATTCTAACTTCATAAGTAATTCATTTCTTGGACGTGTATATACAACTGTTTCTCTTCATTTGTTTTCTTTCTGAAAAGGGCAATACAATACCATTTTTTAAAAGGGTTGCGAATTCCTCCTGTCCGGGGGCAGGGAGAGCAACAGGACCTTGTTCTAGGGGGGTAGAGAGAGGTTGGAGCTTGGGACCAAGGGTGGTCCCACCAAATACATCACCAAATACGAGCAGTAGTGGGAGCTTTCCAGGAATCCCACCAGCAATAGAGGTGGATTTTTTCCTCCCATCTGGGAGGACTCAGACCTTAAAGCAGCATTTCTCAACCTTGGCAACTTTAAGATGGGTGGACTTCAATTCCCAGAATTCTCCCCCTTCTTATACACCAGTGAATTAGGGAGGTGTCTGTTTGAGCCACTTCTGAATGTTATCTGGATGTTGTGGACTTAAAAAAAATGTTTCTGGGAATTGAAGTCCACCCTTCTTAAAGTTGCCAAGGTTGAGAAACAGCTTAAAGTACCATCTGTTTTTTAAGTTCCTACATTCGGGGCAAAGATGAGGGATTCCACACTGGAGACTAGCTAATATCAGGACTTTCTCAGTTACTTCTCCCCTTTTTCTGCCATGCATGTAAATCCAGCCAGAGTTGCTCACCTTGATTTGGCTGCCCTGGTGCTGTCAGTGTTACATTCTGAATGGGAGAAGGTTCTTCCTTCTCCCCCTTGGAGTCCTGCTGTTCTTTTGGAGAAGAGCATGGTGGATAATCTGCCTGGAAGGCCTTGCTCTTTTCGGGGATGCTATCGCCAGAAATAACTGCAATATCAAAAATGGTTTGCAAATGAAGCCCTAAGATCAGGAAAGGTCCAGATAATCACCAGGGAGTGATGGGGCAGCAACAAACATCCCTGGTGTTAAAACTAGACAGTCAGCCCCACTAGGTGGACCAGACCAGGAAATCACATCCACAGGAAGACTAAAACTACTCCTATTGAGATGGGCTATCATACAGCATCTTGCAAGTCTGATGTGCTGTTCCTTCTCCCCCATAATTCACTTCTTACGCACCAGTGAATTAGGGGGGTGCCTGTTTGAGCCGCTTCTGAATGTTATCTGGATGCTGTGGACTTAAAAAAAATGTTTCAGCCCCTTTGCCAGATGTTCTTGTCCAGTTCAAAAAACTTGTTCAACCTTTCAGTGAAATCTTCTAATCAGATATTTGCCCAGCCCTGCAAATAGACCCCAATTTCCAATCCAACCAGGTGTCCAGGGCAGTCAATAATTAGGAGGGGGAGGAGGGGGGGAAGGGAAGGGAAGGGAAGGGAAGGGAAGGGAAG